ATTGGAAGGGGAAGGGGGGATAATGAGGGGGAAGGGGTAAGGGGGAAGGGGGAAGGAGTTTTTTTGGCCGCGGCGGAAAAAGATACCATTTTGCAGTTTTTAGGGGGCGTTGTGTTGTTTTGGTTTTTTTTATTTGTTTTTTTTTTTTTTTTTTTTTTTTTTTTTTTGGATTTTTCTTTTGGTTTTTTTTTGGTTTTTATTCTTTTTTGGGGGGGGTTTTCTTTTGTGTATACATATTTCCTTAACTGTTTTCTTTTCGTTTTCTGTGTCGGTTTCTTATGTAACATTATGGGGGGGTTTTACGGGTTTATAGAATCTCGGACTGGGGACAAGGGTCGCGAGAATACCTAGGGGGCTACAGGACCACACAACGGGGAGATATTATACTGGCTACAGATATTTGCTTGGCTGTTGATTGGCTAATTTGTGGGATGAGCATTACAAGGCAGACTACATATAAAATATACATGCCACCTCTACAAGAGAGGTTTTGCTTCCTGCCTCTTCGCTCCACGCTCCGGATCACTTGCTGATGAAACGCCGCTGTGCTTGAGTTGTCATAGAATCATCTCTATTTTCCAACCTCGGTAAAACACCCCCGATTATCTTGACCACACTTCCACGTCCTCACATCTACTCAACCTCATCCCTCCAAGGAATGCTCCTCGCCGCCCCCTCCCTCGTAACCGTCACCGCCGCCGCCTTATTCGCCCTCCCCACCGCCCCCCCAACATCAAACTCCCCCCCCTCCTTCCTCGCCCTCGCAGCCTCAAGCGCATACCTCCCCACAAACGTATCCCCCGCCCCAGTAGTATCAACAACCTTGACCCCCTTCTCAGCCTCGATCAACCCACTCCTTCCCCCCTTGGTCAAGTAAAACACCCCCCTCCCCCCAAGCGTAGCAATAAAATTCTCCACCCCCTTCCCCACGAACCCTTTCCCAACCCTCTCCAACCCCTCCAGCGTATCCAGCTCCTTTTCCTCAACCCCCCCAAGAATGGCAGCCTCCGTCTCATTAACAACCAAATGCCTCAACCCGTCATAAACCCCATCCGGCAGAATCTTCGCCGGGGCCGGATTGAGCAAAACATCCACCCCCCGTCTCTTCGCCTCCTCCACCGCTTTGAGTACAGTCCCCATCGGAATTTCGAGTTGCATGATCAACAAATCGGTCTTGTCCAACCACCCCCCCTGTGTAACGTACTCCTCCCCTACTTGGTGGTTCGCCTCTCCGGAGATGATGATTCTGTTTTGGCCTGTTTCCGCCTCCACGACGATCATGGCGATGCCAGTTTTCTTGTTGGGGAGTTTGGTTACCAGGGAGGAGTCGACCCCGTGGGTGGCGAGGTTAGACAACAAAAGGTCGCCGTTGGAGTCGGAGCCTACGGCGCCGACCATGGAGACGTGGGCGGAGGGGGAGGAGAGGTCGCGGGGGCGGGAGAGCTTGGCGCAGGCGACGGCTTGGTTGGAACCTTTGCCGCCTGGGGAGGTGAGGAAGGAGGTTGCGGTTAGGGTTTCGCCTGGGAGGGGGTGGTGGGGGACGTAGGCTACTAGGTCGGTGTTGAGGGAGCCGAGGATTGTTATGTGGGGGATTTGGGAGGACATTTTGATGGTTTGGGGGCTGTTTTTGTTTTGTTTTGTTTTTTTTTTTTTTTTGGTCTGGGAGTTTGATCAAGTTTGAAGGTGAGGTTTGTGATGTTGGTGGTTGTTGGGGTAAAAGTTACAAAGTGAGTTGAATGATGAGGGATGGAATGGATGATGAAAATAAGAGGGGAGGTTTAAAGTGGGGTAAGGTCTTTTGCACCTGCCTTGTGCAGTTAAGATGGTTGTTATCGGAGGGCGGCGAAAACCTTGACTTTTTCCTTCCCTTGGAAAATAAGATTTGTTGACTCTCAAATATAGGACTTGAGATCTTGGAGATGGGCTTTGTCGAGTTGTAGGTGTAAAGCCGATAGCAAGAGGTTGGATGAGGGGCAGCTGTTTACATACTCGAAAATAAGTGGTCTGATACCCGAGAACACGCGGTCACCTGAACACTGCCTCAATACTCCAGCTCTCATGATCTTGTGACCAAATCCATCGGATGAGATAATGCCAACCATTCTATTAGAGGGACTTAATTTTAGACGCATTCATGTTTGTTTTCGAAGCTGATGTTTGTCGACCTGAGACCATAACAGCGTTCTGATGTTGAATACACACTTCGATACCAGTTGTGACACGCATATCCTTCCGAGCGATTCTCACCACCAACCTAAATCTCAAGGCGAAATCTGTTGAAGATTGAGATTCACACAATACTCATATGAGGTACTCTCCCACAAAATTCGCACCTTCCCATAGCGCAGAAAGCAAACAAAACAACCGGCCATCATCATAACGACATCTCACCCACCACCTTCCCTCTCTTCTATGATGCTCACGGATTCACATACTCCCCCCCCTCCCCCGCCCTCCTAGCCTGCCTCACCCTTCCCCCCCGTCTCAACCCCTCCACATCCAACTCATCCTGATTCACCACCCTCAAATTAACCGGTCGAATATCCTTGAACCCCTCCCTAAACTTTCTCATCTCCTCTGAAACCTCCTCCACTTCCTGGATAGGCACCGGCTCGGCAAGAACCAACACCCCGCAGTGTTTACACGATCCTTTGCGGACAATCTTTTGGTTGAATTCATACCAGGTGAGGTTTTCCCTCCCGGAAATGACAAGCTGGTCTTTTGTTGGGTAGGCCCAGACGTAGCCGCCCTGTTCAGAGGGCTGTCAGATGGGTTGGCAAGGGGGGAACGGGGGGGACCTACACGGATACAATGGCTGCAGTTGCACTCTGCTAGCATGCCTTTGTAGGATTGGCTCTCGAAGGGGTGGTCGACTTTGAGGGCGGCGGTTACGGCGCCGCAGTGGCAGGAGCCGTGGTAGAGGGTTCCTTGGTTGTCTGGGATTGACTGAGGGGAGGGGAGAGGGCCGGGGTGGGTAGGGGGGGTGTAAGGGGGTGGGTGGGCTGTGCTGTCGACGCTGGAAGGGGGTGTTAGTTGTTTGCGGGAGAGAAGGGGGGAGAAAGGGGGCATACTGTCGCTCTTGGAGGGCCCAGATGTCGAGGTTTTGGATGCAGCGGGCCTGTTGGATGATGGTCAGTGAGGTGATGATGTAAAGAGAACGTTGGTGTAAAACGTACATTGATGCCCATGTTCATCGGGGGGTCGAAGAACTCGGATGTTCCGTAGGTTGCGGTGCCGCATTTGCTGCAGAACTACACAAGTCTGTTAGTTGAGCGACGGTTGTATATGATGATTGAGACTCACTTGATGTTTCCACTTCTTCTCCCCAAACTGATACTGCTTGATAGTCCCCCCATCCTTGACAATCTTCAGCTCAACCCCCGGAGTAATAGCAAAATACCCCTTCTTGTAGCAAATACTGCAGTTGCAAATCACACCTGACTTGATCTCGGGGGCTTCAAACTCAAAGACAAATGCACCGCAGTGGCAGTTGCCGCGGTATTTCTTGATTTGCTGTTCCGAGTCCGCCATTTTGATCAGTTTCGGAGGTTGATTGTCAGGATTGAAGTTGTGAGATTTTTGACTACCTAGGTAGGTAAATCGGAAGCTGCCATCAACTACTCGGCTGCCTTGCCCTTTGTGAACCAACATCCATCCCACACGAGCACACGTAACCACCGGGCCAACTTTGACCCCGATTATCTGTTACAGCGTTCCATCAGACACCAGTAATGTACATAATATTCTTGACTTCGGACTTCGGACTCGAATCCTTTCCTCCCCAATGGGATTCATTGGAGGGGCTTGACACGCTTCTGTCGTGTCGAGAGTACCCCGCGGCGCGAGAGTGTACGCGGTGTCAGGTGACCTAGGTATCGTAGGGTAGAGAGTTGAAGAGGGGAGAGAACGATCGACAGCCACGACATCGCCAACGGTCTGTCCCACTCCCCGCCCTTTCTTCTCCAGCATCAACGATTTGTTGGGACAGCATCGCAATGATCACTTGACCACTTTTACCCCAGAAAATACTTCCTCAAAAAAAATCCAAAAATCCAAAAAAAGAAAGCACGACAGGCGGTGAGGAAAAAACCCAATATCCTCGGGTCCCAAGAGATGACATATGTCCCCCCCCCCCGAGTCGGTGTGCCCCCATGCCGGATCGCGCTCGGCCCCTCGCTCCGGGAATGAAAGCTTCACCCAAGCATCGGATAAGGCTATGCCGCATTTTCTATATGCCGGTGCGAAAAGAAGAACAAGCAGTGGCCACATGACCATGTGAAGATCCTCTTGAGATCGATAAATCATATCAATGTAGTGGGCTAGATTTCCGTCCTACCGGCGGTCGAAAACTTAAGCATCAGCTGATCGTGGTACGGATTACGAGAGAGATGAAACTCTACGAACCCGTCAGTTGGGGTTACCTTTGTTGCACTACTTTTTCTTCCGAGAGAGATGTCAACAATAAGGAACTTTTTGCCAAGGCGACGAGGGTGCTGCAAGGCACTACTAGACGGATCGACACTTGACATCGGCTTTGTGTCGTCCAGGTACAGAATGGCTGTCCGGCAGGCAGATCGACAAACTTGACAACATGTTGGTTTCTGGAGACGAGACCAGCTACAGTAGATAGCCGTCGGCAAGCGAACTCTTGCCGATGACTGGTGTTGAATGTTGATAGACCAGGTTCCCCGCACCAAACGAATCTCGAGCTGTTCGTCCGGTGGATGTTGCTGCTGTGGTCGGCATGCAGCGTGCCTTTTTGGTGTGTGGTCCGGCGGACCCGGCGTTGTCTGGGCGTGGGGTGGCCCCGGGAGTTTGGGGCAGGGGAGAGGGAGGCTGGTCACCGTTCCGGACCATTGCGGGTCGGGTGGAAGGCCGACAAATCAGAGCCTAGTCCGGCTTGGCCCGATTGTCGATTCGCGAATGGGACTGTTGCTGATGGGGGATGGGGATGACGTCGACGATTGGTCATTGTTGTCTTTTCTCTCGCTGGATTGTTTCAAATTTGCCCCGCCGTAAGGGCGAAAATAAAAGACGGAAATTTTCGCGTCGAGAAAGGGAACCTCGTCGAGATGCTTGCTGCAAGGACTCTATGACCTTGTTATGTCTGATGTGATCGACGGCGTTGTGACCCCTTTTGCTCCATCGGGCTTCAACGAGCCCATGCATCTCCATGTGGGCTGTACCCTTCTCAGCAAAAAGATGCGAGTACTCAGCAGAAGAACCTCGAGATCGTTCAACTCCAGCTGCTACCGGACGCGAGCTGCGAGCTGCGAGCTGTGATGCGTTGTATAAGGCGGGGTTTGCCGATGGTGGTGAGGGGTAACGACGGGGTTCATCGTGGCGTGTGGCTCTCTGTCTACATCGTCATATTCCTTCCCTCGCAACATCTGAGATGAGATGAGATGTAATGAGGATGTGGCCTCATCATCCGTTCCTCCATTGGGACATATCCGTGTCTTTTCCGCTACAGGTACCCGAGACAGAGGCAAAGAGAAGAGAAGTTGTAAGGTAGAGTCAAGATGACGAGTGCTCTGCGGGTCCATCGCTCCTCTCCAATCCACACTTGGCTGTGCCTGTCAAGCTGATCGTTCGTTCCTACCAAGCTTGGCATGGAAGAAAACATGGAATTTCCAGAGCACTAATTCAACTTTGTACCTTGTCTTGTTGACCGCCCGCCCTGAGAGTGAGACACCTCGTCCCGTCTCCCGCCTGTCACTTGCTTGGACGATGGCCATGTTCCCCGGATTTTCATCTACTGTACATACACGCACCCGCCCCCGCCCGTTGCCGGCTCCTATGGCAAGAAGGCGGCATTCGGTCAGGAACACGACATATGCACGAGAAGAAGACGCTAACCTCTGCTCCAGTCGCCCGGCGTGGGGCCCGCAACACCATCTGTCTTGTGATTTGTCCCTTGCATCACCAACTCCCACGTTCTCCAGAATGAGGCGGTGCCCGGCCTGCATTCCATGACAAAAAGATTCCGTCTTGAGCCCTCCCGACAGAGACAACATTCCTTCTGGAATCCAAAGTACGAGCTATAGGAACAGGTACATACATGGGACATAACAAGAGACAGGCGAACTAGCGGCCGGCTAGCACCCGCCAGTCCCGGCACCTCTTTCCCATCCATACAGACTCGAACAGAACCTTTTTCATGGTGTCCACTTGACGCTCTGATTGGCAATGGAAGGGGCCGATCCACCAGGGACGCTTCTTGCTGTCCACCCTTCTGGGGCCATCTTGGTCATGAGTCCCGCCCTGGTCACGCTACATGCGGTGTTCTGCCCCTTGATATTTTTAACCTCTATACTCCCCAGGTACCTACCTCACTTTCCAAGATGACTATAAGGTAGCGTTTTCTTGGATAGGTTCGGCGTTAACCCGTACAGCTTACCTACCTACCTACCTACCTCCCCGTACCTTCCTCACTCCCCCCCCTCGCGAGCCGCCAAGCTAGATCCCGTTCTTTGTTCGGCGATCCGGTATCTGGATCGGAATACACCATCCTCTCTTATATAAGTACCTTCATTCCAGTTCCCTCTGGCGTCAATCCGTCGTCGATTGTTTGGCAACATCACACCATCACACGGTTTAGTTCTCCACGATGCCTAGTAGTGCTCCAGATTTGACCGTCATGGCGTACGGTGCACTTGCTAGCCTCAAGGCCGCCGCTGCTGCCAAGGACAAGACAAAACCCAAGCTGTTCAGTCATCCCAAGGTTGACATCATTGATATCCGCCGTGTCGAGGTCGAGACAAACCTCAAGGCCGACATTGTCTCCCAGTTCTGTCCAAAGGAAGGGCCCAGAAAGCTTCCCACACTGCTCTTGTACGACGAGAGAGGGTTGCAGTTGTTTGAGAAGGCATGTCTTTTTCGTTGAGTCGTCGGGAGTGAAGGGCGAGCGAAGTTGCTGACAGAATTCCAGATTACGTATTTGGAAGAGTACTACCTGACCAACGATGAGATTCAAGTGCTCGAGTCGTCGGCCAAAGAGATTGCCGGCAGCATTCCTTCAGAGTCTATGGTTATCGAACTCGGCAGTGGGTGAGTCCAATGGCAGCGCGGTTTTGTTGTGGGGGGTGTTGTTATGCTGACCTTTGGTCCCAAAGAAACCTTCGAAAAGTGAATCTGCTTCTGCAAGCTTTCGAGGACGCCGGCAAGAGCATTGACTACTACGCTTTGGATCTCTCCAAGCAAGAGCTCGAGCGTACCCTTGCCCAGCTTCCCGCATATCAGCATGTCCGAGCTCATGGTCTGTTTGGGACGTACGACGATGGGCGGGAGTGGCTCAAGGACCCATCCAATATTTCAAGAAGGAAGTGCATAATGAGTCTTGGGTCAAGCATTGGTGAGTGTCCCTCCCATTTGTGCCCGACTTGAGAGCAGCAGGAAGAACCTGAACCTAACGCAACTCTGCCAGGGAATTTCGAGCGAAGCGCGGCCGCCTCGTTTCTCAAGTCGTTCTCCGATGTCCTCAGCCATGGTGACACCATGCTGATTGGGCTGGATGCTTGCAACGACCCGGCCAAAGTCTAGTATGTTCCATCCAGTTCCCCCTTCGTGCAGCTTTGATTTCAAGGTTCGCTGACCGTCATACCTGAACAGCCACGCCTACAATGGTATGTCCTACCGCACGCACTCTGTAGTGTGATTATTACGCTGACTTGTAGTTTTGTGGGATCACACACAGACAAGGAGGGCATCACCCATGAGTACGTCATGCTCACCACCCGCCCCTTTTTTGACAAGCTGCATATATGAAGGGAACTTGAGCAACTGACGGGGGACCTAGGTTCATTCTGAATGGTCTTCGCCATGCCAACAGGGTCCTTGGACAGGCTGCCTTCCACGAAAGGGACTGGAGGGTAATTGGTGAATACGTCCATGACGCCGAGGGAGGGCGCCATCAAGCCTTCTACTCACCGGTACGTGACACGACCGTTTTTGGCCAAGTCATCCGGCCCCACGAGCGAATCCAGGTCGAGGAGAGCCTGAAGTGGTCTCCGGAGGAGACACGGAAGATGTGGGACCTGGCCGGTATGACCGAGAAGGGGAAGTGGATGCACGGCACAGAATATGGTGAGCAACCTGCCTTCCCTTTCACACACATTACCTATATCCCTATTTTCCGGCGGCAACTGGGCTCTGCGCGGTTCTTTCTCTCTCTCTCTCTCTCTCTTGACCGGCCGGTCAACGATGATTTTACCCAAGCTTTACCCCACGTTTTGACCTTTTGACACGTGGGACCAGTCGTACGATTTGCTTCTGCGCCGTGAAACACATCTCGATTGTGTGTGCCCTTTACTGCGGGAAGAGGTCGTCCCCACTGGCCACCATGGTCTACCGATGGGTGTGTGTTGGGCTGCGGGGTCAACGGCCAGCCAAGGACCCAGGCTGTTAACATAGTCTTATTTCACTTGGAGAGAGACGGAGACAGAGAGAGCAAGGAATGACTAACAGCAGCAATATGCAGGCCTTCATCTACTCACCAAGTCAAAGATGTCATTCAGCCTGATTCCTTCCGTCTACGCCCGCAGCGCCCTTCCAACCATATCGGACTGGGAGGCGGTTTGGGCGGCATGGGATGTTGTCACACGTGAGATGCTGCCGCACGAGGAGCTGTTCGAGAAGCCCATCAAGCTCCGCAACGCCTGCATCTTCTACCTCGGCCACATCCCCACCTTCCTCGACATCCAGCTGAGCAAGACGACCAAGGAGCCGCTGACGGAACCGGAAACGTACTCGCTGATTTTTGAGAGAGGGATCGACCCTGATGTCGACAACCCCGAGTTGTGCCATGCCCACTCGGAAATACCTGACGAATGGCCCTCGGTGGAGGATGTCCTGGCCTATCAAAACCGGGTGCGAGCTCGCGTACAGAGCATGTATGCAAGCGGTGCCGAAAGCATCCCGCGGCATGTGGGTCGGGCGGTTTGGGTGGGCTTCGAGCATGAGCTCATGCACCTGGAGACACTGCTGTACATGATGCTGCAGAGCGACAGGACGCTGCCGCCGTCGCACGTGCCGGCGCCGGACTGGGAGAAGCTGGCGGCCAGGGCGAAGGGGGAGGGGGTGGTGAATGAGTGGTTTGATATTCCGGAGCAGGAGGTCACCATCGGGTTGGATGATCCAGAGGACGGGACGGACATTGATAATGTGTATGGCTGGTAGGTTTTTTTCCCCCTTCATCAACATGAACATCACTAACAAAAACAGGGACAACGAAAAACCTGTCCGCCGGGTAAAAGTCCACTCTTTCCAAGCCCAAGGCCGCCCCATCACCAACGAAGAATACGCCCAATACCTCTACAACACCTCGAGCAACAAACTCCCCGCCTCATGGGTGGAAATCCCCCCATCCAACCACACCAACGGAACCACCTCCCCCCTCCCAGAATCCTTCCTCCACAACAAAGCAGTCCGCACCATCTACGGCCCCGTCCCCCTCTCCCTCGCCCTCGACTGGCCAGTCTTTGCGTCATACGACGAACTCTCCTCCTGCGCCACCTACATGGGCGGACGCATCCCCACCTTTTTCGAAACCCGCAGCATCTATCAATACGCAGAAGAGCTCAAGAAGAAGAAGGACGTGGAAAACCAACTCGGAAAGACAGTCCCCGCCGTGAATGGTCACCTCTGCAACAACGGGGTGGAGATTTCTCCCCCTGCTACCCCCACTACGACGACTGCTTCTTCTGATGCTGGTGGGGAGGCTGATTTGTTTATTGACCTTTCAGACGCAAATGTCGGCTTGCACAACTGGCATCCTGTACCCGTGACGGGGAAGGGGAATAAACTGGCTGGGCAGGCGGAGATGGGCGGTGTGTGGGAGTGGACTAGTTCTGTGCTGGAGGAGTGGGAGGGGTTTGAGGCGATGGGGTTGTATCCAGGGTATACGGCTGATTTTTTTGACGGGAAGCATAATGTTGTTCTTGGGGGGAGCTGGGCGACGCACCCGAGGATTGCGGGGAGGAGGAGTTTGTGAGTTTTTTTTTTTCTCCCATGTTGAACAAGGGGCTAACGAGGAGCAGTGTCAATTGGTACCAGAGAAACTACCCTTATGCTTGGGTAGGGGCGAGGTTGGTGAGGGATATCTAAGCCTGGATGCTCTCTCAGTTTCAGACTTGTGATATCTCTTCTGTCTCACCCTTTCCAGCATTCTATGGTCGGGGGATTATTTTCTCATCTATTTATCGACGCCACTCTTTCTTCTTCCTTACGGTTGTCGGAAAACCCAAAAGAGAAACGAGAATTTGGAAAAGCGCGGTCGTTTTTCACACACATACAAAAGCCAGAAAACACGAGGCACTTTTTTCATTTTGTGATGCCGCCTCCGGGGGCTGTTTAATAGTATTTTTATTTTATTATTATAGCTCTCTCTTTTAAGGAATGGTATTGGGTTTCTGGTATGGGGTTTCGGATCATCAGATCGTTTCAGGTACTTAGGTAGTCGAGTTGTCTTGCTGTAGGACATTATGATTGAGTTCTCTCTCTGTTCTAACTGCATCTCCTAATAATGGCGAAGCAGTGGGATGGGACCGACCCTCAAAGTGTGAGAGAAGAGCCGTCATCCTTCACAATATCGTTTAAACATCATATATTTGGATTTGACGCTCTGCCTCAAATGTCATCCACCCTTACCTATCAACCTTGCTTCTACCGAATAGAAAAAAAAGAAGAAAAAATTGTTTGATACATAAACTCCAACGCTGCCAAAAAAGATGAACCCAACGCCTGTTTTTCAAATCTCTCCAGTGAGATTTATTTATATCATCCACCCATTCGTCATCCTTCTTGATGTCTCCCTTCTCCCCTTCTCCTCCTCCTTCTCAAGCCCTTCTCCCCTCTCACCCTCAGAACCGCACTCAAAAACCCCCTAAGCCTTCCCACCTTCCCCCTCCGCCTTCTTCCCCGTACTCATCTTCTGCCTGTTTTTGTTCCCCCATCATTAGCCCCCACCCCCCCCCTCAACCATCAGGACCAGAAAACTTACTCAATCCTCCCCACCCCCTTCAACCTCAAATACACATCCGTCCCCCACCCATGCAAACTCTGCACCTTGATCCCACCCCCAAAATACTCGGCATACGCCCTGCTCAACGGCAGCCCATACCCCAGCCCAGCAATCGAGCTCCCCCCGCTGCTCGCCGCCGAGATCACGCTCAGCGCGTCATCGCTCCATGCCCCAGGGGGATCGTCCTCATTCTCCGAAAAGGTGGTGAAGCTGTAAGACCAAATGTGCGGCAGCACCTCTGGGCCGATACCACCTCCCCGATCCCGGATTCTGATCGTCACCCCGGGGGCATTGTCGTCAAGGGGCTGGATATGGTCTTTGTTGAACGCCCCCAAAGAGACAGACGGTGGGGAGAGCGTGATGGGGGTTGTGACGGACGAAGGTGGCTCGGGAGCTATGGTGATCTCCACCGGGGATTTACTCTGACCGTTTTCGACTGTGGCCCGGAAAGCGTTCTTGAGGAGCTCGGTGATGATGTACTCTAGGTGTGTGGGGACAAAGGCAAAGGTTGTCTCGGGGCTGCCGTTGATGAACCATTCTGGTCTCACCCCATAATTGAGCTCGCAGATGTCGGCGACAAAACTGCCGCACGAGTCGACTGTTGATGCCGGGCGGAGGGCCGTGTCAATGACCCCGATGTACCCCGGGGTTTCAGGGCATGGTGTAGGGGAGGAGGGTGGGTCAAAGTGCGGGCTGGAGGAATAATGCAAGGCGATGTGCTGCTCGGCTACCAACCTGGTCCCGATACGGGCGCGGAGGTGCTGGTCGAGGAAGCGGGTTACCTCGCCGGGGGAGATGTATTTCCTGCACTCCAAGAACCCCCGGGCGAGAATGGGGATGGTGTCGGTGTGGGTTTGGACTAGCTCGGCGAGGACTTCAGTGAAGCGGATTTCGTCTTCGAGGTTAGAGATTGTGCGGCCTTGCCAGGGGAGGAGGGTGGAGAGTGAGTGTTGGTAGTTGTTGTAGATTTTGCGGATGTTGGGGTTGGACACCACGATATAGGGGAGGTTGCGGAGGGCCTGGATCCTATGGGCTAGTCGAATGGGGAGGAGGGAGAGGGTGAAGCGCGCCGAGGAGAGGAGGGCTTCGGCGCTGAGGGGTGGTCGGCCATGTCTTTAGGAGAAAAGGTGTTAGACGCTGTGGTGTGATTGGAGCCATCGTGTTGGAAGGGATAGGAAGACAAACTTGACCAAGTCTGCCAGACTCAATCGATGTAGGGGCTGTTTAGCTAGCCACGGGACAGCATCGTCGGTCTCGGAATAAGTGACGTGATGGTGGTGGTGACTCGGAGGTCGGTGGTGGTGGGCAACGGGGGCTTCCTTATTAGGGTTCTGTGATGTCGATGACGCCCTTCGCGCCAGGTATCGTCCTTTGACAAGTCCTGGGACAATACGGGAGGGCGTCGACAACCGTATCAACCTCGCCGTGGGGCCCATATTATCAAAGTGCTGATGTGTAGTTGAAGCTGTGTCAAAGCTGAGTAAAAGAATGGAACGCGGCACGATTAAACTGAAACTGTGCGAGTACAAGTTGCTAAATGCTGTCAAAAGAGAGGGAGCAAGCTGGAGATGGTAAGATTAAATACATCAATAACACTGTCCAACATGAACACTGGAAAGAGAGAATGACTGTCAATTGCTAGCTAGCGCTCGTCATAACGACCACGAACCCTCGATATCGATAAGCCGCTGGACAGGGATTATCTGCCCCGCTGTCACGGCACACGCTGCCCCGCACGTCACTAGATCCCGCTCCCGGACGGCTGGCCTGAGCTCCTTATTGAGTGCGCATCTCTTGATCAGCTTCAACATCCTTCACGTGCTCGTGGCTGGAAAGAGTTTGGACAGAGTCCTCGGGGAAGGAGACTCTGTTGGTGACAGAGTCAGTCATTTTGTTCATTTGTCTGATATCGGGAGAGTCTTACGAGAAGCCCTTGATCAGTGTGTACTCGTGGCCGATGGTGCCGCCCTGGTCTTTGGCATGTTGCTTGGCCCTGCGCGGTATCAGCTTCAGTTCGGTAGAGAGATAGATCCCGGGAAAGGATCTTCTTACGCCTCGATCTGCTCGGGGGTAGCGTCGTCCTTGCAGGTCACCTGTGTGGTGGTGATGTTAGCTTAACGATCAGAATATACAATGGCCGATAGGTCCACATACGATGTAGGAAGGCATGGTTGTAGTTGTAGTTGGCTTGGGTCTGTTGGAGAAAGACTGTGTGTTTGCAGAGAGAAATCGCAGAGATGGAGACAGGGTACGGATCCTCCTTATAAACATCTGGCCGAGGCTGCCCAGGCATGGAGACGAACAAGCGTGGAGGCCTAGTTCACGAGGACGGCGGGGTGAGAGGGGAATACGTCATGCCCGGTGTATCACGCACTACAGCCGGTTCGATACAAGCCGTTTCAGCTTGTGACGCTTACTGGCGGCCTTCTATGGACTTTAACAGCGCTTCCATGTCCAGTTGGGGTGGAAACCGCGGGATACGCGCCTGTTTTGCCTGGCACGCCAGATTACGAATCTGGCATCGTGCAGGAGGCTTGCCCAGTTGGGCACTGCAAGTCATTTCTGAAGTTTGAGAGAGATGTGATATCGCGCATGCAAGCAATCACCTGCCCATTTGGAGGGTCGAGAGCGTCTCTGGAGTGGTGTTGCAATGGGACAAACCCCTCAGACTAGACATGCCGAAGCTCAGCCATCCCAGTCAGGCCAGGCATTCTAAAGTGGAGAGGCTGAGGATCACCGACGACTGGTTTTGGAATCATCTCGAGTTACAGATGATATAGTACAAGACTGTAGTGTAAGTGTCTACAGTGTAAGCTGTAAGGACCAAGTTTAGATCTTGGTTGCTCTCTGGAGGCTGCCTCCCTGTTCCCCGCTCACCCGCTCCCATCTCCAAGTGAACCCCACCATATGATGCAGGGCCCCCGCAGGGATCTGTTATCGATAGGGCTTATCGCTTATCGCCCAGGATCCGCCAGCCCAAAAATTTCTGGAGCTTTGCGCAGGTCGAATTGGAAATGGAGACTTGTCGCGACTTGGAGTTTTGCTGCTGGACTCTTCGGTGCAGAAACGCCCGAATAACCACAACATCGCGGCGCAACCATGGAACAACAAAATAAGCCTCACAGGCCGTCCAAGAAGTCCAAGGATAAAAAGAAGGCGCAACATACAGGCCGTAAGTTGGTTTCAGGTCGTTGCGATGCGATTAGAGTCGCCATCATCCCTCGAGGTCGCTAACAGTATCTTCAAGAACAAAACCCCAAGGCCTTTGCCTTCTCTAATCCCGGCAAACTTGCAAAGCAGGCGGCGAGATCCCACGATATCAAAGAGAAGCGCCTCCATGTACCCCAAGTCGACCGTCTTCCCGATGAACCTCCTCCGCGCCTCGTCACCATCGTCGGACCTCCTGGTGTGGGCAAGACAACCCTTCTAAAGTCTCTCATCCGCCGATATGCAAAGGAAACAATGTCCGACCCCGTGGGACCAATCACGGTCGTCACCTCGAAGAAGCAGCGATTAACCTTTATCGAATGCCCCAACGAGCTCGAAGCCATGGTCGACATCGCCAAGGTCGCCGACATTGTCCTGCTGATGATTGACGGAAATTTTGGATTCGAAATGGAGACAATGGAGTTCCTCAACGTCCTGGCCGCCACCGGTATGCCAGGAAACGTCTTCGGTATTCTGACCCATCTCGATCTCTTCAGAAAGCCACAAGCGCTCAAGGACGCCAAGAAGAGGTTAAAGCACAGGTTGTGGAACGAATTGTATCAGGGCGCCCATCTCTTCTATCTTTCTGGTGTTTTGAACGGCCGTTACCCCGATCGGGAGATTCATAACCTTTCCCGCTTCCTGTCGGTTATGAAGAACCCTCGTCCGCTCGTATGGAGAAACTCGCACCCTTACACTGTTATCGACAACTATCGCGACATTACTCACCCAACCAAGATTGAAGAGGACGAGAATTGCGACCGGTCGATCGAGCTGTCTGGCTATTTGCGCGGTACCAACTTTGCAGCGGATGGGCAGAGGATACACATTGCGGGCTTGGGCGATTTCACAATAGCTAGCATGGAAGCTCTGCCGGATCCTTGCCCGACCCCCTCGATGGAGCAAGCACTTGCGAAGGCCACTGGAAAAACTGGGAGGAGGCGCTTGGACGAGAAGGACAAGAAGCTGTGGGCTCCAATGGCCGACCGTAGTGGTCTCAAGATTACTGGTGATCACATTGTCATCACCAGGGAGAACGGTTTCGCTTTCGACAAAGACGCCGAGGACGTCGAACGTGGCGAGGGCGAGCAGCTTATTGTTGATCTACAGGGCGAGAGGAAACTGCTTGGTTCTACTGACAAGGGTGTCAAGCTGTTTGCCAGCGGGCAGGAGCTCACACAAGTCCCAGAAGAGGCCGACAGCGGGAGGAAAACCAGGAGGAAGGCGCGCTTCGCTGCTGGGGATGAGCCTGGCGAGGATGAAATTCCCGACGACGAGGGCTTCGAAAGCGGAGAGGAGGATGAAGAGGGCTCAGACGTTGAAGAGGACGAATTCGACATGTCAAAGCTGGGCAAGATGTTCAAGAAGCAGCAAGACAAGGATCAACCAGAAGACGACCTTGCCTTTGCCGACAGTGACTCTGACCTTGGTTCTCTCTCTGGCGACGAAGACGAGGAGCTGGATTCCGACGAGGACGACGAGGACGTTGACATGGAAGACTTGGGTTCTGATGAGGAAGCCGGTGCCCTGAAGTGGAAGGATAGCATGTTTGAGCGCGCCAGTAAGCTTCACGGAAACAGAAGACCGTTCCGTGCTGTGGATCTTGCCAGATTCATGTACGACACTGCCCTCAGTCCCAGAGAAGCTCTCAAGAAATGGAGGTGCGAGGAAGAGGAAGAAGAGGAGGAGGACATTGAGAAAGACGAGGACGACACTTTCTTCAGGAAGATTGGCGATGATGAGCAGGAAGATTTGACCGAGGACCGCGCGATACCAAGCTTCGACTATGAGGATTTGGCTGCCAAGTGGTCAAGTGAGGATGCTGTAGAGGCTCTCCGGACCAGATTTTCGACTGCGAACCTGGTTGATGAAGAGGGCGGGAACGGTGACGATGACGACTTTTCCGGGCTCGACGATGATGATGAGGACGACGAGGGTGATGGTGCTTTTGAGGATCTTGAGACAGGGGAAGCGCATGGCGGTGATGGTGACGAGGACGAGGATGAGGACGGCGATGAAGATGAGAGTGAAGAGCCACCAGAAGCCAGCTTGGAGGCTGAACGTGAAAAGAACGCCCGTCGCAAGGAAGAACTCAAGCTACGCTTCGAGGAAGAAGATCGCGAGGGTTTCAAGAACGACAAGGCTGTCGCTAGGCGAGAAGGCGGCGGAGATGATGAGTTTGGCGAGGACGACTGGTACGATGCCCAAAAGGCTCTGCTTCAGAAGCAGCTTGACATCAACAAGGCCGAGTTTGAAGAGCTTGATGAGAGGCAAAGGACGGCGGTTGAGGGTTTCAGAGCCGGCAAGTACGGCAAGATTGTTCTCGAGGGCGTCCCAGCCGAGTTTGTCAAGAACTTCTCGGCCAAGAGACCCATCATCGTGGGCGGTCTCTCTGCTACCGAGGACAGGTTTGGTTTCGTCCAAGTCAGAATCAAGAAGCACAGATGGCACAAGAGAATCCTCAAGACGGGCGACCCCTTGATCTTCTCTCTCGGCTGGAGAAGATTCCAATCTCTCCCCATCTACTCCATCTCCGACTCCCGGACGAGAAACCGCATGCTCAAGTACACACCCGAGCACATGCACTGCTTCGGCACCTTTTACGGCCCCCTGATCGCCCCCAACACCTCCTTCACCGCATTCCAGTCCTTCTCCTCCTCCAACCCGGGCTTCCGCATCGCAGCCACCGGCACGGTCCTGTCGGTAGACGAATCCACCGAAATCGTCAAGAAGCTCAAGCTAACCGGCACCCCCTACAAAATCTTCAAGAACACCGCCTTCATCAAGGACATGTTCAACACTGCCCTCGAAATCGCAAAGTTTGAAGGCGCGGCCATAAAGACTGTCTCGGGCGTCCGCGGCCAGATCAAGCGCGCCCTGTCAAAACCAGACGGCCACTTCCGCGCCACGTTTGAGGACAAAATTCTCCTGTCCGACATTGTCTTCCTCCGCGCGTGGTACCCCATCAAGCCGCACAGGTTCTACAACCCGGCGACGAACCTCATCGGCTGGCAGTCGATGCGCTCGACGGGTGAGATCCGCCGCGCCGAGGACTTGGCCACGCCGCAGCTGAAGAACAGCCAGTACCGCAAGATTGAGCGGCAGGAGCGGCATTTCAACCCGTTGAGGGTGCCCAAGAAGCTGGCTGCCGAGCTGCCGTTTAAGTCGCAGATTGTGCAGACGAAGAAGCAGAGGAAGGAGACGTACATGCAGAAGAGGGCCGTGGTGGTTTCGGGAGAGGAGCGCAAGGCGAGGGATCTCATGCAGAAGCTTACTACGATCCGGAAAGAGCAGGTTGCGAAGAGGAAGGCGAAGAAGGAGGAGAAGAGGCAGGAGTACAGGAAGAAGGTGGCGGATATTGAGGAGAGGCTGGAGAATAGGGAGAAGAAGGAGAAGCAGGCGTACTGGGAGAGGGAGGGGAAGAAGAGGAGGGCTGGGGATGGGGGTGGTGGGGGTGGGAAGAGGAGGAAGTAAATAGTCGGTGGGTGTTTTGTCTGTCTGTGAGATTACCAGGCGTTGATATCATGGTTGAGGAGGGTACATAAGGTGTATAGGCCAGGAAAATGAAACACTTTTGCCAACATCATGTTGCGTGTGAAACACCAATATTGGGGAAGACACATTTCCTGAGAAAGTACGGGCTAACCGCCAAAAATGTATTCCTGTTTCCCAATATACATACAAACACTTATTGTAACTAACACTAACTCACATACCAGTTAGAAAGGCCGGGGGTGTGGGGGGGTATTCCTAATCCTACCAGCCAACTACTCCTTTCCTTTCCTTTCTTTTTCCTGTTCCTTTCCCATTCTTTTCCCACCAGCAAAGTCAAGATAATTTTTAAATCACCCCCCCCCCCTAAAAAAAAAGAAAAACACTTCCAAATCTTCTAATCAAACCATACAACACCCTCTGCCTCCCCTCAGCATCAAAGCCGCCCACTGACAACCTCCTTCTCAAAAATCTTCACCCCATAAACATCATAAAACCTCATATCTCCCACCGTCTCAATCTTGCTCGCCCTGAACCTCTCATCATCTTCCTCATCCCCACTATCCTCACTCTCATCACTACTCCCATTCCCCCCAATGGCATCCAACCACGCCGAGTTTCCGCTCCCGTCAGTTTCGATAGACGGTAGTATCAACCCCGAGCTCGTACTCCCCAGCCCCGTCGTGGCACTCATCTTCTTGACCTTGTTATTCTTCTCCTTTTTGCGCTTGGGCAAGTCCCTCGCCCTGATAAGCCGCTCTACCCTGTCGTCGTCATCGATCGAGATCCACTCCAGCTTTAGGTGAGGGTGATGAGAGAGGTTATCAATCAAAAACTTCTTCGTCTCCCTCATGACCCAGACACACGTGTCCTCGTTGCGCAGCTGGGCAATATGCAACGCCCTCAACGACACCAGCCCCGCAAGCCGCTGCATAAATGTATGCTATTTTTCACGTCAGCACCTTGGTATCAATCAACCAGTCCAAAAGGGGGAAAAAAACATACCATAGTCCTAATACTCATACAAGCAGTCAGCTCCTCCAGCACCCTCCCCTTCCTACACAGCAACAAGACCGTCTTCTCGTTCAGATCCCAGCTCGGATCCGCCAAGTTCTTGATCATCAAGTACTTCAACGTAGGCATGTGCTTCTTTAGCACCAACTTCCGAATCTGTTCGATAGTAGTCGGTGTCCTGGGCGCAAACGACTCAGGCTTATACTTGAAGTCCCGCTCGAGCATAAACAACTCCTCCACCGCTTCCAGCTCGTGAACAAACGTCAAAAAGGCTGGTGTGACATTGTCGGTAAAGATGTGTCGCAGAGGCAGAGGGGCTTCCTTGTTGAGTTTGGCCATTTGAGCCCAGATTGGCGCTTGAGGGCCGACGTTCAGGAGCGTCAAGTGACGGAGACATCGGAGGTCGATGGCCCGGTACAGAACTGAAGCCTTGACCGGGATGAGGTAGATGGCTAGAACCTGGAGAGCGAGACCTCTTGTTGTCCGCAGGTAGTCATTCATCTGCTGGTTTTTGAGCGCAATCGAATCAACAGCGGACACGGAGGAAGATGGCCGGGGAATTTGCTTCTCGGCATCGTTGATCTCGGCTTCGACTGTCGTGAGCTCCTTGTGGATGTCTGCAATGCTCTGGCTGATGGTGTACATCTGCTTCTCAGCCTCGGCGACACGGCTAACATCGACCGGTGTGTCGCTGGAGCGCATCCTCTCAATATCCTTTGTCAAGTCCTTAGCTTGAGTCTCAAAGATATCGACCTTTTCAGCCAATGTCTTGAAGTTGGCTTTTTGCGCGGCTAGGTTCGCCATAGCCTTGTTCACGTCGGCCGACACCACGCTGCCACTCGTGGAGGGCGTGGCCAAGGAAGTCGTGGAGGCAGACGGGGTCATACCGAATTCCTTCGAAGAGGTGTCCTTGGTTGGGCCATCTGCACCATCAAGCTGGAGAGTCTCCTCGGGCACCTCAATGTCAATATCTTCAGGAGTCACATCATTCTCCTTTTGCTTGTCCTTGGAAGCGTCTGCAGTGCCATCACTAAAAAGACTGGCAGGCTCTGTCGAGGCCTGTGCGACCGAGGCAGCCCCTGAGCTCTCTGCGGTCGCCGGCTCCTCTGCCACCGATTCATCTGTCTTTGATGAACTTGAGCTCCCGTTTGTGCTTGGCTTATTTGAATTTTCTGCCCTCTTGTTCATCGTATCTTCAACGTATTTTGTTGCGGCAGCCTGGAAAGTTTCGAGAATATTCTTTTGGGTAGCATTGACCTCACTTGGATCGGTGTTGTCGTTCAGCTCCTTCACAATCCTGGTCATCACGGTCTTCAAGGCCTGGGCAAACTCGTGCGTTCCATTGCCCCCGTTCGACTCGACCTTGGTCTCCTTTTCCTTTTCCTTTTCCTTCCCCTTGTCTTTCGGCTTTTTGGGCGGCTTTTTTACTAGATAGACCTCGACATCCAAGATCCTACCCAGCACCGACTCTTGTGCCTTTTTCTCTTCCATGGCCCGGAAGGCTCTGGCAGGACCGCTCATGTCATTGGCCATGTTTGAACTAGAGCCAGCCGGGGTAGGCTGGAAATCATCGTCGACATCTGAATCGTCCGGATCCGCCTCGGGGGCAGGTTTTCTGGCCTGTGAAGCCAGCTTGTCCGAAAAGGAGAGTTTCAGCTTAGTGAGAGTTGCCGAGGAGTTCCGAACACATGATTTGATCTCTGTAACCATATCGAGCGAGTCGATATCCAACACGGAAAGACTCCTCAGATTGCCGAAGCCCGACAGCGTCGGTGGCTCCTTGGAAAGGGGCGTCTTCCGTAAGGCTTTCGGTCGGTGAGGCTTCGGCATGGGAGGTGGAGGGGGCGGAGGCACATTGACTGTGACGGAGGTCACGGGCACATAAAACCCAGAGGGCGGCGGAGGCAGCGTCGAAAACGGGGGTGGTGGAGGGGGTAAGTTCGACATGGGAGGTGGTGGCGGGACAGATGTGACGCCCAGCGAGGCTGATGTTGAGGTGGCGGCATTGTATGGAAGGGGAGGAGGCGTTTCGTAGATAGAAGGTCCCTCTTGTAACCGAACATGAAGATGGGCCAGTGTCTTGATACTGTGTAGTTCTTTGTAGAGGGTTCGACTAAGTTCGACACGGATATTCCACCTGAAGAGGAAATTGTCAGTACTGGATGTGCAATAGACCGAGATGGACACACCTGAACCTCTCGAGAGCCCTTGCCCTGCGCAGCGTCATAAGCAGCAGTGTGTTCATGAACTTTCCGCAGCTGAGATTCGCCAGGTAAGCCTTGTAGGCTGTTTCGGCTTTGTGGCCGGCGCTGAGAGTGTCCAGAGACAAGTCTCTCAGGTGCTGAGCATAGTTGTAGTCGCTAGTCACAAAAGTGTCGAGACCGCCGGCCAGGCCGTCTATGGGCGAGTCGTATTCGGGGTCATCTTCGTCTGGGAAGACAATATGGAAATTGCGATAGAGTTGGGCGGCAGCGAGTTCTCGGCAGTGTCTCGACACGAGGGCAAAGCATATCAGATCGGCCTGGGAGCAGTTGCGGACAATTTCTTTCTGGACTTCGTTTGGCAGGGCCATGAAGCAGAAAGGTGGTTTCTGCCTGCCCGGAGACGAAGCCATATCGGCGATAAAGATGGATGGGATCTGATGCTCGTCCTAGCAGAAGATGGGGGCGCACGCAGGAAGAGGAAGATTTGAGTCAAGAAGCAGTGAAAGAAGACGGGTATCGGAATGGAAATGCAAGATTTTGATTCTGGCAGTCTTTTTTTTTTTTTTTTTTGCTGGCGCCAAAGAAGCAGCCAGCCGTTCGTTGTTGCAGAGGGGTTCATTATCGAGGTGCGGCAGAGACGGTGGGAAATCGACAAGTTCTGGCCAAGAGCCGGGGTGTGCCCGGGGGGTGCCTTAGCGGATGTGCAGCACTCTGCAGCGGGCAGGGCAGGGCAGGTGGGGGAGGGTCCAGGTGAGCCTCTCCCGCCTCCCTGACCACATAAAAAACCAAGACTGCAAACCACCAAAATCACCGTCACTTACACAACCACGTCGATATTAAAACGTAATTTTCTCAGCCACCACTTCATCAAATCCCCTCATCTTTTAAACACTACTGTTTTAGTACTTTTGAAACATATAAGAATTTTGGTAGAATTTTATGGTTGTCTTTGAGTGAGAACGGTGTGTATGAAAGGCTGCTAATTGTATAGTTTCTTCGGTTTTTTTGTGGCCAGGGAACCCGTCCGCAGGGCATCCCCAATTCCCCAGCATGTGACGCTCGGACCACCTCAACATGAAATTCCATCCATTCCAATGGCACATTTTCTGAAGCAACCACCTCCAACGTCGGATTTTTTCTTTTTCATGTTTGATGGTCCGTGTGAAGGCCCAGGACTCGGTATTCCGCCATCCAATCATTTTCAGGGACTTTAGATATGACATGCAGGGCCCTTGTGGCTACCTTATCCCATAGAGTGCCGTCTATCCGCTCAGGGCATCAACTTCAACAATTTAACCCCACCATTGCCTAGGCATCCACGCAGTAATTAGTGGCTGCCCGTAACATGATTAAGATTTTATGTTGCAGCATTTTTGCTTATGTCTCATACAGACCTACTTCCTAAGAAACTATCTTCTCCTCCTCTTCTGTCTTGCCCTTTCCCTGCCATTGCAACCCTCTCTGTTGGCACAGCGGTTGATCATTGAGGCAGGGTAGATTGCTTGGGGCGAATCATTTCCCTTGGCTTTCAGTGCCACCAGCCAACAACTCAACCGAGCCCTGTGTGAAGACTCAATCTTTTAATCTTTTCTCACACACCCAACACACGGTGCCAATCACTGTTCCTCATCGACAATGGCCGACGTAGAAGAGCCGCGTTTCAACTCGCTGGCAGAGCGCATTGCTGCTCTCAATGCCCAGAAGAACTTTCAGGCGCCCCCTTCGACAGCAGGGAAGCGACCCCCACCCCCGCCACCTCCAGTGAGGGCTGCCACCATCACCACCACCACCACCACGACACCATCACCATCACCACAACAGCCCCAGAATGAGACGGCTCCGGTGATGCCACCCCGTCCAGTGAGGGCCTCAACGGAGAAACTCCCACCACTTCCTCGTCGGACCACCACCGACATTGAGAAGGGAGATCGACCCGCACCGGGCCCGGGACTGGGACGGGTGCTCCCGCCTCCATTGCCTTCACGGGATTCTTCTTCGGCCAAGGGAACACCGCCGGCTCTCCCCTCTCGCCGGCCATCATCAAATCTCACTCTTCCTACCCCTGGAGGCCGGAGGAATTCCAACTCGTCAGACATCTCATACATATCTACCATGTCTAGTTTGTCACTGAACCAAGATGGGCCGACTCCAAGAAGAGGGCTTCCGCCCCCATTAGAGCAGGCAAAGCTCCCTCCTTTACCACCAACTCGTCGTGAGCTTGAGGCCAAGGCGAAAGAAGAGGCCGCAAATACCCCTCCTCTCCCTCGTCGTGTGACAGAGCCACCACCTCAAACCATGCCAGAGCTTCCCAGTGGCAGGCCCTCATTGCCCCCTCGGCTCCCATCCAGGCCAGCAAAGTCACCCCTGATGAACGCAACCGAGGCCCCATCTCCCTCTCTCCCAGCTAGACGCCTCCCACCCCCTCCATCAAGCTACAAAAACCCCAAATCCGCCCTGGAACTAGGTTTCAACAACAAACCCAGACCAGCCGACGATGTCCCACCCCCTATTCCACTCGCTTCCCGCCCAAGCATCTCCCAAATAGAAGCCGTCCGCTCCGCCTCAACCCCCTCCCCAGCAGCAGCAGCAGCAGCAGCAGCAGCAGCAGCAGCAGCAGCATCATCATCATCATCATCATCATCATCACCCCCTTCCTGCCTCGTCTGCCGTGACTTCTCCGGCCCTGACACGGTCGCCGCCCAGTACCCCTACACCTCCCTCCCCAGGCAGGACCCCATCTCCTACCTAGCCCACCACCTCTGCTCCCCTTTCCCCTCGCCCACCGACAAAGCCCGCGCAATCTTCACCTGGTGCCACCACAACATCTCGCCTACGACGTCCA